AATGAGTGTGTCCCTTGGGCCTACTAAGGTGAGTTAACTGAAAAATTTAAAAACACTTTAGCCTGTCCTGTAGATTTCAGATTGATCTTTACATATTTCCCAGATACAACAGTTTTAATATAGCTGTTAATTATTAGCTGCTCATTTTGGTAAAAACTGACCCAGAATTTCTTCCTCTTAAGGCTCTGTCACACCTAGCTAGCTTGCAAGAGGATGTGGTACTGGGATTTTGGAGGTGTCTTGGGGGTTTTGAAGTCTGGTGCTGTATAGCTACCCTACAAGGCTGTTACAGGGATTACATATGATTGTGTGGATAAAATGCCTGGCACGTAGTAGGTATTTTCTAAATGTTAGTTCCTCATCCTCCCATGTTATTGATGAAGGCCATACGTACAGTCCTTGTGGAATTTTTATACTAGGTTATATATATATGTTTTAGGCATGTTGGGATCTATCCTGATTTGAGCAGTGTTGTTTTATATTGAAACTTAAGAAAAGCACTAATAATGTATGCTGAAAGTGTATAGTTTCTCATTAAATTATAGGTTGATGATAATTCAGGAAATAATGCAAACGGTTTTGAATTTCTTGGTGAAATGAGACAAGGTTTAACAGTGTCCAAGAGTAGAATAATGGTATCAGAATTCAACTTGCTCCAGTTTTGTCTGTGAAATTTAGTTCAGCACACAAAGATATTGCGTTGATAAAATGTTTTCATGTTGAGTCCACTAAGAGCTCCACAAGTGAAGGCTTGGAGTCCGGGGGTGAGAGATGGAAGTCTTGCAGGCCGGTGCCGCCCGGGAGAGCCAGGAAGTCTTGGAAGACAGGCTGACTTGTGAAAAGGATCTTGAAAGCATTTGGCTGTAGGCTGAGAAATGCCTTTGGGAGAGTTAAAGCAATTCATAGATAAATGCCAGAGAAGTTGGAGAAGAACCGTGTAACCTTGTAAAGGAAAGCAGCCGCAACTAGACTGGCAGTCACTCTTCTTAATGCTGTTTCAGCACCTGCATGCCTGCAAGGTCTTCCTACAGATAGCGCAGCAGATAACGCACTAGTGAGAGCTGCAGGCTGCCTCTGTCCTGACGGTGCTCGCAGGCAAAGCATTCGTAAATAAACACATACCTCCCCAAGGGATGACGCAGTTGGGGAGTTGCCGTATTAATTGAGGGAGTTTGGTATTGATAATTGAGACCCATTGTCATATTTCAAAATGTTCTACTTAACTCTTAAAGTTAGTAACGTTCATATAATATAGGAAAACTAAAATTTCAGTGGAAGACATGATCATCAACGATGAGATCCTATTAAGATGGTGTGTGCAAGTTCCTGGGCAAAATCTAACTGTAGCTGCATGGCCCGTGCTCTCCAAGCACTTTGTGTTAAGAATAGTAGGGTCTGGCGATTTAGTAAATTGCCTACCCGTGATATTATTTTCAACCTTTTATTTATTCAGTAAATATATATTGGGGACCAGGCGTTTTTCTTGCCACCAAAGGGATACAGTATTGAACAACACAAAAATTTCCTCCCTTAAGGAACTTAAATTCTACAGGAGGAAGAGAATAAAGCGGGAGGGAGGTACCTGGTGAGAGTAATATGAATGAATATAAACAAATAAAAGTAAATCAGGGTCAGTGGAGTAGAAAGGGGAACGGTGGTGATGAGGTGCGGTATGAAATAGAGCGGCCAGGGAAGCCTCCCTGACGGGGACACTTGAGTAAAGGTCTAAGTAGACGAGGGAGCGTGCCATGAAAATGTCCGTGAAGAAGCACATTCTGTGCAGAGGGAACAGCAAGTGTGAAGACCCGGGCATGAGTGTGTCCACATCCTCAGGGAGCAGCAAAGAGGGACAGTGGGACGAGAGTGCGGTGAGCAAGGGAGAGACAGGGAGCAGATGAAGCAAGAGAGGTTACCTGGGGCTGCTTATGGACCTTGTAGTTCATTGTGGTGGCTTTTACTCTGAATGAGAAAGGAGACAATTAGTAGGTTTTGAGCAGAGAAGTGGCATGATCTGATTTTTTTTGTTTTAATCAATATGACTCTGGCCTTTTGTTTTGAAAGCTGTGTGGCGAGGCAAGGGAAGAAGCAGCTGGGAGGCTGTTGCAGGAATGCAGATGGAGGGGCTGGAGGCTCAGATGGCAGTAGTGGTGGTGGCAGTAGGGAGAAGTACAGTCGGCCATCTGCATCTGTGGGTCCCACCAGCCGCGGACCATGTGGTTGGTGGAATCTGCGGATGCGCCTAAGGGGGCTTGAGCCATCCACAGATTTGGGTATCCATGGGGGTCCTGGAACGAATCCCCCGTGGATATTGAGGGACAACTCTAGGTAGAATTTAGATATGTCTTTAAGATAGAGCCAGCAGGATTTGCTGATGGATTGCGTATGAGGTGTGAGGGAAAGAGAAAAGTCAGGGACGGCTTGGAGGACTGACCTATCATTCACTGAGGTGGAGAATTCTGTAGTAGCATCACTCATGGGGGCGGGAAGCCAAGAGCTTGGCATGGGGTGACGTTATGTGTGAAATGTCTGTTAAACATCTAAGGGGGAGACGTCAAGTAGGCAGCTGAAAATATGATCCTTGAGTTCAGGGAAGAGGTTCAGGCTCTGATCAGGTTCAGGGTCTTATCAGTGGTGTTTAAAGTGATGAGACGCATTGAGATGACCCAGGGGAGGGAGATAGAGAACCAGATTGAGAACTGAGAGCCCTGGGTGGTTGGGATAACGAGGAGAGCCCTAGGAAGGAATGTCCAGTGAAGTAGGGGGAGAGTTAGGGGAATGTGGTGTCCTGGAAACCAAGCAAAGACAGTGTTTAAAGAAGGAGGGAAGTGATCAGCTCTGTGAAATACCACTGAGAGGTCCTTAAGTCAGATGAGGTACAGCAAGGTGGAAATTGACTGTTAGAAATGGTCTCTGCTGCTCTTTTACTCAAGTGCCCTTGAATGAATTCAGCTAACCTTTCTCTGGGGATGACAGTAGTACCTGCCTCATAGGGTGGGTGTGATGAGCTGTTTAAATGAATGAGACAGTTTGTTTAAAGTACCTGCCTCGGTACCTGGCTATTGGATAGTTCAACATAGAAGTCGTCGGTGGCTTTCACAAGCTCAGTTGCAGTGGAGCAGTGAGGACAAAAGTCTGATTAGAATGGGGTCAGGTGAGAGTGGGAGGAAAGAACTGGAGAGAGCTGACAGAGACAGCTCTTTTGAGTATTCTTATAAAATTGGATTAGAGAAATGGGGAGTTTATTTACAGAATGTGGGGGTCAAGAGAAAGGTCCTTCTTTTTCTCTCATTCTCCCCCTTTTTTTCTTCTCTTTTTCTTTTTCTTTCTCTCTCTTTCCTTCTCTCTTCCAGGTTGGGAGAAGGTACAGACTGTTTATAGGCTGATGAGAACCATCCTGTATAGAAGGGAAAATGGCCGATGTAGTTGGATTTTGGATTGTGAGATGTTGGGTCACAGAGAACAAGTTGATTGAAATGACTAGATTGTCCTTTGACTCATCCTCTCCTTCTCAGGCCTTCATTCATTCATTTATTTGCCAAATATTTATTGAAGGTTCACAAGGTGCCAAGGACCGAGCTAGGTGCTGGGTAAAGAATGATGAGGGAGGGGAGAATCCAGCAGGAATGATCCTACACGCGCACGAAGGGTTTACTGTCTGGAGAAGATAGTCTTTCTTAGGAGACACGAATAAGTAAATATAGATTTGGATGAATGCTTCACTGGAAAAGTGCAGAGTACTTTGAGAGAGAGAAGACCATGGTGTACTTTAGATTGGGGGCGTTAGAAAACCTCTCAGAAACCAAAGGTGCCCACGACTGAGAGGAAGAGTGTCTGAGCACAGGAAACCCAGCGTGCAGAGGCCAGAACCGGGGAAAACCTCATACCTTTGAGGATTTGAGATGTGACCAGTGTAGCCTGAGAGGGAGGAAGGGGCCTGTGGTGCATAGCTTTGGAGCCATGCTAAGATTTGGGGTTATATCCTAGGAGCAGTGGGAAGCCACGGGAAAGTTTTAGGAAGTGACATGATGGGGTTTGCATCAGGGAAAAAAACTACGTGTGCTGCAGTGTGTCGTGGTGAGTGGATGGGAGGGGGCATGAGTGGGAAAAAAGAACACCAATTCAGGCAAAAAGATAGTATCTGTGAAAATATTTAGACCGAAATATTTACATTTTTGGTAGGAGAAAAATAGAATTGAGAATATCCTCTATTTAGCAGAATTTGCTTGAGCATACCAGGCTTCTCAGCAGCTGTGAAAAGAGCATTTTCTTGTTAAAAATAATATTGATACAGAAGAGTCACATGAAGATGTCAGTGACTTCAGATTATTTAACATAAAAGGAAACTTTGAAAACGATTGTGGCAACTTTGTGAAAAATTAAAAATAAGACCATATCAACCTTTTTTTTCCAGAAAAAATACCAGTGACACCATATTAGAAACAGAATCTATTTTAAAAACAGATGAAAGTATACGAGCAAGAATAATCAATCTGCTTATGACATTTTAAGTGTTTATAGGCCATTAGTAAACCTTCAGATTTTTTCTTGAATGTAGTGGATGTACATTAATTTTATTTCTTTAGAACAGAAACTAATATAATGAAAGCAGTTTATTGGTTAATAAATATTTTGAAAGTTCCCCTTATCACTTTCAGAAGTGTCTTAGTTCATAGGATAAATGATAAGGTTAGAGATGGAGGATTTCTATCTGTTGAAGGGTCAGTCTGGTAAAAAGGGATCAAATTTAGCACAAGATGTGTATTTTATTGTGCTATATAAGCTTCTTCCCAAAGAGATTTCTTAAAACAGAAGGGCAATTTTAATACCAAGTATTGTCATCTCAGGTCACCCACAACTCCAGGGCCATGAATTAACTTGTTCTGAGCCCTCACTTAAACAAAAAAAGAAAGAAAAGAAGAAACTAAAGTTATTCCCTATCTGGACAGTCCACTGGTGGGAGTCCTGTCTTGGTTGTAACGCCAGTTTTCTTTCTCACACAGGCACCTTATTCACACTGTTCAGGGTTAGAAGAGATGGAGTACTTTACCATCTGGAGTTTCTCTGCCTCGTTGATGATGGAAGCGCAAACCTACCGGTTTATAGGAGATGATAGATAACACCTTGTAACGTCTGAGTAAGTAGATGCTGCTGTGAGCTTTGTTTTACTGCTTTAAAAAAAGAGTAACATGTTATATAACTTGAAAGTTTTAAAATATTATGCATTTTAACTGGTTCTTTAAATTTTTTTGTTGAATAATGATGACAGTTACCATCATTCCAGTAAGTGAATATTTATAATAATGGCATTCTGGAAGAAATTAATACGTTGATAAAAAAAAAAACTTAATGAAAACATTTTCCATGCATAATACTTTAGCTTTTAAGAAACATAGTGAAGACTTAAATTTATGTATTAAAAATTTAAAAGCATTTTCCTTGTTGCTTTATTTCACTTTTATAATATGAAATGAAAATTATTGGTAAGGCAATTGTTATGAGTTTTTTAAATGCGACCATATCTATACAAAAAAATTGTCTTTTAACACAGAATGTGTTTTGGTTAACTTGAAATAAATACTGGTTTGTTTAGTGGAAACAGAATTTTAATAGTTCTTTCTATTTGTAAGTGATGATTTTTTCCTGCTAATGCAGATAAGAACACAGACTCTCCATGGATTTAACTTTGTTTCTTAATTGAAGAGACTAGGAAAGAACGGCATTCCTTCTTTCTAATCAAAACATCTCAATGAAATTTAAAGAGTTCAGCCAGTTATCTTGATGTAAATTGTTTCTCAGAATGAAAGCTATTATTCTTGTTACATCCATTGAAACTGTTTTGACAAAACTCAGAAACCACGAGATTGTACAAGGGCCTTGTTTTAGAATGCTAAGTTAAAAGCAAGTAATGAATATACGAGAAGTTTCCCAGTACATTGGGGTTATTTAATTTTGGACTGTATCTGTGCTGTCCAATATGATAGCCGCTGGCCATATATAACTGATGACAATTGAAATGTGGCTCGTCTCAGTTGAGATGAGCTGTGCATAAAATACACACCACCTCTCAGCGACTTAGTGTGAAAAAAAGACTGTAAAATATTTTATTAACTTTTGTATGAGTCACATGAAATAATATTTTAGATGTATTGGGTTAAATTAAATTAAAATTAATTTCACTTGTTTTCTTTTACATTTTTATGTGACTAATAGACAATTTTAAATTACTTTTGGCTTGTATTTCTAATGGATAGAACTGGGCCATATTATCATATACGATCAGTATTCTTAGTCATCCATTACTCAGCGTTCTGTAGGCCTTGAACCTTCTGGTCTGTGTATGGATGAATTAATATAATTCTGTATTGTTTTAAGAATATGGTTTTTGGATTCATCAAATCTTTATTGAGTGCCTACCGTGTTCTAGGTGATGGTGATACAGTAGTGTGCAGAATAAAATTTCCTGCTGTCAGGGAGTTGACATTCTATTGGAGAGACAGACTAAAAACAAATAAATAAGTAAAATATATAATCTGTTAGAGGGCAGTAAGCACTTTGGAGAAAATGCAAGAGAGGGGTTCAGCTGTAAATAGAACGTTCAGAGAAGGCCTCACTGAAAATGTGGTATTTGAGCAAAGATTTGAAGAAGGTGAGAGAAAGAGCCCCATAGATATTGGGGGGAAGAGTGTTCTAAGCAGAGGGAATAGCAAATGCAGAGGCCGTGAGGTAGGAGCATCCTTGGCTGGTTTGACTGGTAGAAGGAGGTAGGTGATTGGGTGGAGTGGAGTGAGTGATGGGGAGAGAAGGAGAAAGGTAATGGATGGTCACATCGTGTGAGCATTGATTATTGTAAGGATTTAGCTTTGAGTGAGATGAAAAGGAATTGGTGGGCTTTGAGAAGAGAAGTGACATGATCTTTCTCTTGAAGCTGCTGTGATTAGAATGCTCTGGGGTGAGGGTGGGACCTTTGCAAGGGTGGAAGCAGAGAGACCCAATTTAAGGCTACTGCAGAGGCTCGGGTGGGAGATGATGGTGCCTGAGCTCATAAACAAGGGAAGTGATGAGCAGTGATGGAATTCTATTATATGTTGTTGTGAAATTGGATACGGAGTCAGAGAGCAAGAGACATGTCAAGGATGGCTCAGCTTTCTGCCTGAATAACTGGAGAATGGATATGCCTTTTGCTGAGATGGACAGGATGTGGGAGGGATAGATTTGGGGCAGCACAAGGAGCCCAGTTTTGGACACATTAAGTTTGAGACGCCTCTTCAGACAACTAAGTGGAAAGGTCAAATAGGCAGAGTCTGGAGTTCTGTGCTCCGTTCCGAAGAGGCAAATTTGAAGTCATTAGCATTTACTTGTTATTTAAAGCCCTAAGAAGAGTAGATAGAAAAGATGAGAGGGCTAGGACCTGAGCCATGGGCCACTGCAACATTTGGAGGTTGGGAGATGAGATGGATTCAGCAAGAGGGACTGAGGAATGGACTGTGAGGTGGAAAGTGGAGTATTCTAGTCACCAAGGGAAGAAACTGTTTGAGAGAAGCAGGAGTAAGGAGCCTTGTCACATGCTGCTGATGGGTTAGGTAAGATGTGAGCTGAAAATCCATCCCTGGATTTAGCAACCAGGAGGTTCCATTGGTGCCCTTGACAAGAGTGTTTCAGTGAAGCGCTGGAGACAAAAGCCTGAGTGGAACAGATCCAAGGGCGGATTGAAGGAAATGAACTGAAAAGAATGAGTGTAGACCTTCTTTTGAGGAACTGTGGAATCAAGAGGGCTCAGGGAAGTTTTTGGTTTTAGGTTTCTAGATGACAGAGATTACAACATTATTTCTCCCAATGCATGTGGTGAAGAGATTTCGAGTTATTCTTCTGAAATGACCCAACAGATTTGTGACATGTGGCAAGACCACCCCCTTGTGCGTGTGTATGTAGGGAGGGTTCGTGTTTCCCTCCTAGGAGGATTTCATAGAATGGTGTTCTGTAAAGTGTGTGTTTGTGTGTGCGCACACGAGCGCGGGCACATGTGCACCCCGAGAGCTTGGCATCGATTATGTTAAAGGTTGCTTTTGCGATTGTTATGAAATGGAGCTTCATTTCTTCTTGTTGAGGCTCTGCATTCACTTTCCGATAACTAAAATTTTTAAGGAAACAAATGTTAGACAAGTTCTCCTCAACTGAAAGTGTTGAGAAAGCTAGTATTTGAGGGTAATTTCTTTTCCTTACCTTTAAGGAGGTTACCAAAGCACTGGAAGAAATTGAGGCAGAGACATGCCCAAGGTCACAAGATGAAACATTGCCAGGATAACTGGATCCGAGATCTGATCTAGTAACTACGTGAAACACTTAATCCCTCTGTATATCCATTCCAACAGGTATAAAAAGAGGATAATATTTGCTCTACTTGCTATGTGAGATTTTTGTGAAGATCAAATGAGACAGTAGGTGAAAGAGTTTTCAGCAACTATAAAGCATTCTATCAATATTAAGCAATAATGTTCAAAGCAAGTTAGGCTTGAGGATTTTGTGACAGTATTTGGAATAAGTGGAGAAAAAATGGAATGTGACAAACTCTTGAGTTGCGAATAATACATAGTAGTATTAATAGAATCTTCAAGAATTTGCTTTTTTGCTTATGTCGAGCTTTGTTAATAACAGCACGGAATCTATCCTATGTGGGCCATCAGAGGGTTTTGTGGTCAAGAGCCATGGCTGAGAGCCAATCAGTCAATCAGTTTATCCCCTAGGAACCTCAACATTCCTGAACATTTGACTATTTTGGTACTTTAATGTAATGTTAGTTTGCTGATGCTCTGTGGAGCAGGCACTTTCTTAATGGAAAATATTCAAGTTATGACGGTAAATTTTGTATCAGACTTGAGAGCATTTGTATAGTTGATACTTGGAGTGGAATCATACTTTATTTTTGTAAGAGATTATGTTATGGGAAATCGAGAAATTAAAAATGGGTAGCCAAGATCACTCCCGTTCATGATGAGGTAAAATGGATGAGTGATTCTCCTTCTCAGTAAAACAAGTGTAAAACTAGACAAGATTGACAAAAACAATAATTTCGAGCTCTGGAAATTGGCCAAGAAGGCAGATGATAAAGATGGTGGAGCTGTGGGTAGGAAGAGTGGGAGTTGGCGGCCTTCTTGCCTGGGGCCTCCATTCTGTCCTCCCACTCCCTATCTTGGTTGGTGAGAGCTGCAGTGTTACCAGCTTATGGTTTTTTCTAGAAGTGATGGACTCATTTTGGTGTGGAGGTCAGGGTTAGGGGTAAAAAACCCACAGCTTTGCTGGCTAAAAGTGGCATACTCAGTTCATACAGGGCAAGGAAAACCTACATCGTTGCTACCCAGTGTGCAGCCCTGGTTTGGGGCCATCAGCCAGAAATTTAACGGGGAGATCCTGGAAAGGAGAGAGGCGTAGAAGGGCCAAGGCAGCTCTCCACATGTCTGTGGCTGACTGCTGATCTCTGCAACCCAGGGGCCAGTTACTCAAGAGAGCCCAGCCAAAAGTAAAAGCCAAGGCAGACTCCTCGAGAGCTGGGTGCGACTTGGAATGTCCTTAAGCCCACATGCAGCTGCATCAGGGGAGGGTGGAAGGCTTACAGGTGCAAGGTGTTAGGGTACCACCTCTGCCCAAGTCACTGGCTGACTATGAAGACACAGAAGTAACCACTAGGGACCCGGGCCAGAAAACAGAAATAAGAATTTTTAAAAGAAAGCAAAGACATCAGGGGCTGCACTTCATGGGAGAAACAGAGTCTACAAATTAAATTCAAGCAAATTACTAAAAGAACGATCATCTCTTAGAAAACTGAGGTCTTTCAACTGATGAGTGGATGCGAAATGTGATATGTCCGTATAATAGAATATGATTTGGCAATAAAAAGGAATGAAGTACTGATGGAGGCTACAAAATGGATGAACCTTGAAAACATTATGCTAAGTGAAAGAAGATAATTACAAAAGACCACATAGTATATGATTCCATCTATGTGAAATGTCGAGAATAGACAAATCCATTCATAGTAGCGTCAAAAAGACCAAAATACTTAGGAATAAGTTTAACAAGAGAAGTGTAAGTCCTGTACACTGAAAACTACAAAATTTTGCTGAGAGAAATTAAAATATA